ACAAGCAAGCGATCTTACTATCGATATGATTAGAAGATTTTTGTTATGCATGATGACACATGCCCCACATGTGTCATGTGTTTGATATGTGTTTTGTGTTTGTGATATGATATGTTGCATGACATGATATGTGGTACGACATGGTGTATAGTACAATATGACATGTTGTAATGATATGATATGGATTGTTACATGATATACCTACGTATGCTCGGTAACATTATAATATAAATGAATGTCACATTATGTTTTGACGAACTATGATAAGCTACGAAGTGTCATGATATGCTGTAACATGTATGACATGCGACGAAATATTTTGAGATTAAGGAATTAGTCACTTCAACAGTCTTCGATGGTTATACAGGTATCCAAAATACAAACGAGATGGATGTTTGTTGTCCCAACCATTTTTCTAAGTTCCGATCCCGATAAGGAAAAGGGATAATTTATAACAAAGTTTTCGTGTTGTTGATTCCTAGGTGTAGTGCTTCTTCCCCTCTGCTACCTATTTTTACTAGTGAATATTTTTACTAGTGGAGTAGGGTTGACTTAATCCATAGGTTACACCTTTCGCTCGATACTAGAACCGACAATTAAAGACGATTTATGACGTACAGCTCTCGAGACATGTTTTGAAGGCTATGTTATAAATGAAATGAATAAAGAGAAGTTGCCTTACATGATTTATTTACTATGAAAAATGTTGGGACCTCATGCATAATGTACGTTCACATGCATTGGGATATTTTTTCTTATGACGAGTAGAGACGTGTACGTTATGAAAAGGAAAATGATCATCATGTTTAACATGATGCTACGACAATCGTTATTCCTTTTGGGAGTCTAACAACAGCATCAGAGATGCTAGCCCAACTAGTACGAGGCCCATGGAGTGTGCGAACAGCCTATTGGGTCCATATTTGCATATATGGGTCATGTGTAGAGTAGTAAATACACGTCCGATTACCCGAACTGGAAGGCCACTTAAGAGAATACGCTTTAAATGATAGGTTTCATTCATGTTGCATATGTTTGCATTTCTAACTTCAACAGCGGAGTCACTCACTATGTATTTCTAAAAATACTCAAGTCACATGCTACTTTTATATTTCAAGTAAACATAAGACACCACTGTACGGTTGACAGCAACATCACATCAAAGACCATAGAACCTATATAGGATAGTTGCATTCATTTTTCGTAGACTTTATGTTAGTATAGGTCAGTGCTCTTCCAATATTCTCATTTGTTTTATTTTAATTTACTTCAAATATTTCCTTTGTTTTACTTTAAAACCCTATCTTAATTGTATTAGTTCATGACATCATTTTGTGAAATTATTTTAAATGAATGTTTCTGTATAAAAAGATTATATCATGTATATAGTAGCGACTCTAGTTCCTTTTGGAAATTAGGGTCGTTGCAGTCTCTTTAAAAGTATATTTTTATTTATATGCATAAATAGAATTTAGATTTTTTTTTTAAGAAAAAAAAAGATATATATATAATATAGTCTCGGTCTCTAGCTCCATTTACTAGAAGAAATTTCTCTCAACTCTCTTACCAATTTTTCGTCTGAACGGGAAATTCCCTTTTAGATCGAGACAAATCCCCATGTAGTAGCCCTTACCTTGCCGGTTAAACGATCATTTCTCAAAATATATATATATATATATATATATATATATTATGTTATAAATTAATTTTGTATTAAAGAAATACAATTATGTATGATTTATCATTCTAAAAATGGAGAGTAATAAGTTGGTGATGAAGTTGTTGAGTTGTTTGTACAAATGTATAATTAAGAATGATGTGGCATTTTAGCTTTTAATGTTTTTGTCTCTTAACTCATTTTTTTTATCCATATTTGGAATTACATTTTCGGACAACCCATTTACATTGATTTTACCAATTACATTTCTAATTATACCTTTTCACATTTGACCACATATTTAAATATTAATTCATATTGCAACTTCTTTTTTATTATTATATAAAAACTTTAATTTATTATATATTTAATCAAAATTATATCTGTTCCCTTAAAGACATGGGTCCAAGGAGTCAACACAGCCCAACTCAACCCACCAACTGTCGCCCCAAGGAGTCAACACAGCCCACGTTGAAGCCTCAGCACACACACGCCAAACTTGCCCAATGCATGTGTGGCGCAAACCCAGGTGTGGCTTAGTTACCATGACGCGCGGCTCAACATTCAGCACGTGCGGTCCAAGCCGCCCAGCGTGTGTACCACCGTCATCACACACCTCATTCTCTTCCGCAGTCGGCTCTTAGCTCGATTGAGTTGGATTATAAACCTATTTAAGTTTGATCGAATTCAAATAATTGAAAATTTTATGAATTGAATTGATTCATGAGTTTTCCTAAAACTAAACTGGTTGAACTCGAACCCATCTAAAATTATTATTAATTTTAAACTATATATTTTTCTTGTTATATGTATGTATTTATTTAATTTATAATTATTTTATTGATTACTTATTCTCCAGCAAACTCTTTAAGATAATTTTTTAATTATTTAAAATGTAATTTTTCAAAATATATATTAAAACCTTGAGGCCAAAATTAAATATATTTATATAATAATTCTCTCTTCGTAGCCTATTTTATATAAAGTATGATTAATACTTAAAAAATTATTAATACGGATATTTTAGTAGATTAAGTGTAATTAATTTAGCTGAGCTTTCAATTTAGTTAGATGAATTGACGGAAATTTAAAAATCAATCAAATTAATATTAACAAAAATGGCTAAATCAACCAAACTCCAATTTTTTAATATATTAAATACACTTTAATTCCAATTTTCAACTTACCTATCAAAATCCATCCCAAATTGTTTAGTTAAAAAATAATATTTTTTAAAGGTTTAAAATATTGATGTCAAAAAAAATATTTGGATCTCAGATAAAATATTAATATTGACAAAAATTTTTAAAAAATATATACAAGAAAAAAATAAATAAATCCATAAACTTCTATTCACATCATGTTCGAGATTATTCAAAAATAATTTCTTTTTGTGGGAATAGAATGGACTCGTAATCCTCATTTTTATGTGGTTGACCTATTATATTATGTTATTTGTTGCATTATTAATAATGATTTTGTCGTGTTTATATATATATATTTATTTATTTATTGACAAATTTTCTGATAAAATTTAGAGTGCCAAGTTCCAACACTTTCAACCTTCCTTCATTATCGTCAAAAAGAAAGAAAGAAAGAAAAAGGAAAAACTTTCGTAGACATCCACAATCTATGGGTACCGGCCTAAAGTGAGAAAAGTAGGGTTGGTAAAGGACTTTTTCAGGGGTAAAAAGGTAATTTACTCTCTCTTTCAATTCAAAGTTTGAAGGGACACCAAAACAAACTAACAATCTAATGTGTTAACGTTATGTTGAAGTATATTAACATTTTGATCCCATCAATAGTTTAAGCTCCCTTGTCGACCTTGAGTTGAGGCCAACGTTAACCAAAGGATCAATCTCATATGAGGCTCGTGACTAGTGTCACAATCGTACTTTTTCAACCGTACGATGCCATAATCTTGACATGCTCAGCTGACTTTGTAACTTCATAGGATCTTAGATACGACTTGATCTAGCCTCTGCTTTAGACCAAGGTCTCTCATGTACAACATCGCATCTCCATCATCATCTTGGTTTCCATCGACCAATCCATGCATTTGTGAGGCCATCCCATGTCTCGAGATAGCTCGACCATCTTGGCTTGCTCAACATGTCTATCAGGCCGACCCATGTATAGTTCATCTCATCGGGACATCCTGAACATTCATCCATCTAGGTTCTCATCAATGCATGAACCCTCCCGTATCTATACTAAGTCATTTACGGGATCCATATTGGATAGCAGGTGCATATACCAACCTTTGGAGATAGGGCGCAATGTCGGCACACCCGTGTTATCCGACACGATCATGTACCAATTGTCATAGTTTGGCTATGGTGCCAACTATCCGAGTCATATTCTTCAATATGTGTGGTGTCACAATTTTATCAAGATCATAACCAAACTCTAAGGAAAATTCAAGCCCCATTATAATTTTTTCATCAAGCTTTGTGATTTTGTATGATCTTAAGCGAGGTTCTCCTTCATCAACCAAACATAACTAATACAAAAACTAAGCTTCATTCGACCATACACATCATCTTTACGTGTATTTTCACTCTATTGATACTCTAGCCGACTTGCTTATACTCTAGGTCAAGTATTAAGGCTTGTGGTCTTTCCTCTACACTAGGTCAAGGTCCTTCAAATGCAATATCACATCTCATTTGTCATCGTGGTTCTCAACAACATGTCCTACACGCTTCTACATCAATGTGTTTAAACCCTTGGTTGGGTCAAAACAACCTTAACATGCTCAACTAGAGTTTATTGGTGATTTCAACACTTACTGGAACCTATCGAGGCATTGTATTGCTTATTAGTGCATATTGGCTCAATACATTGTTAATCGAGGATTCTTAAGTCTCATCGATGCTTCATGATGTCATCCAAGACCTTAAATGTCATTGGCCTTTGCTGCTCGCTAAGATACACTTATCGAGAATAGACCCATTAGTCAACTTTTATAATCGACACATCTCAGACATCCTCTATTTGAATACTATTGAGGCGTGAACTCTCTGGTATCCATGTCGAGTCATTTCTACATACCATATTGGAGAACGACTCTATATATTGAGTTTGTGAAGAGTCAAATCACAAGGACATCAGCCAATTGAGTGGGGTTGGATGTCACGGTCATGCTTGTCCAGGACGTGTTCTCCATGGTCGTATGCCCATTCTAAACCCCTTTTAATTGTTTTCATGTATAGTTAGGTCTTTACTTTTCCCCCTTGTCAACACGGGTATGTTTGCCAAAATCATGTTTACACCCATCAGACCTAAAATGTCCCAAAATTGACGGGAGAGAGAAAAAAAAAAAATTGGGAGTGCCATCAAAATCGTGTTCAAATTCCGGCCTTCAATCATTTACCATTTTTTCAAATTCCAAAGCCTCTCTCTCTCTCTCTCTCTCTCTCTGTGTGTAACTCCAAATACGCACACCGTCGATTCGATTCATTCTTAACCTTTTTCCATGGCGTCGCTTCTCAAATTCAAGCTCCTCCCGACCCACTGCGGCGTCGCTCAGAGTCCCACCTTGAGCCCTAGGACCAGCCCTCTCGTTCACCTCCGCCGCCGCAAAACCACCCTCCGGATGCTCCTCACTCGGAATTCCGCCCGCCGCTCGCCCCGTCGCCGCGCCTTGCCGGATAAGAAACGAGACGACCACAAGGATTTGTCTCGGAGCAACACGTTGAAGGATTTGTTCGTGTCATCACCGCCGTATGATGAATCCGACGGCGAGATTAACGAGACCGTTGCGGCAGCTCCGATCCGGAACGTGACTCCGGTTTGTAGGGAGGAGGATGGTGAGATTGGACCGACCAGTTGGCATCCAGGTTCGCCTAGACCGGGTTGGACCGGTTTCCGACACAAATACTTGCTCCGGAAAACGTGGCGGCCACTGCTTGCCAGCATCCCCGAGTAATGGATGGTTTTTTTCCCTCCTTTTTAACCCTTTCTATAATTGTTTTAAAAAAAAAAATTGTGTGATCAAATATTTAGCTGTTTTTTAGTATATTTTAAAATTTTGTTAACTTAAAATAGGAATTAGGGAAGTATTGAGATGTTAATCACAAGGGGGTTTGGGGAAATAATTTGTTATAGGGAAATGATTTTTGTATTTGAAATTCTGATTGTTGGATGATGAAAGCCCCACGTCTCCTCGTTTAGCAATGATCGTGAGTTTATAATTAAAAATACTATCTCCATTGGTACGACACTGTTTTGAGAAAACTCAAAGCAAAACTATAAGAACTTATGCTCAAAGTGAACAATATCATACCATTGTATAGAGTCGTGGTCATTTAACACCCATTAATTTGAAAATGGTGTAGAGATTGAGAGTCGGAGTGGCATAAGAATATACCTCTTCCCTTTTAACTTTTTTGAATAGATTCTTGCCATGTTCAAGAGTTAGTGGCCTACATGTGGGAGGGACCCTCTTCTTTTTTCTTTATTCCTTCTAATTTAGTTCTAACATTTAGGGCTTAATACCCACAAACGATCTAGATTCAAAACGTTAAATTTTCATGAAAAGATTCAAATTTCTATTAAAGAACGATGATAAAGTTGAGGATAGTACTTAAAATATGATAATGATATCAAACAAAGAATAATCGAGATCTGATGGGTATTAATGTGGTTGTTATTGGGAGTGTTTTTTTCTTTTTTTTTTTTTTCTCTTTTTTGAAGAATGTGTAGAAAAGATAAAAAAAGGCAGGAGGAAATGGGAATAGGAATTTGGACCAGATATGCAAAAGCATTCACAAACAAAACCCAAATTTCATTCCACTCCTAAAAAGCAATGCCTCCCACTTTACACAAAATCATCACCTTTCAATTTTTTTTTAAAAAAAAAATAATGAAAACATAAATAAACATGTGAATGTGTAACGACTTTATTTTTCTATTAAAATAAAGTCGCTACTACATGCATAACATGACTGTTAAATATGAAAACGTTCATTGAATATAGTAAAGTAAAAATATTTAAAACATATAAAACAAAAATAAATACACTTGTAACATCAAAAGGAAAACAAATTAATGGCCTAATATGACCTAAGGTTATCAAATAGACAAAATGTAAGTACCCTATCATTGGTTCCATGACCTTCATCACGATACCGCTATCATACGTACATGGATGTCTTATCTTTACTTAAAATGTAAGAGCAGTACATGACTTGAGTATTTTAAGAAATACTCGTAACTCCACTATTAGAGTCAAAAAATGCAAACACATGCAATATGGTGGTTCTTATCCTTTTTCACATATCATAGCATGACCTTAGACAACTTTTCAGTTCAGATAAAATTGGATGTGTAGTACTTTTCTGCACATGACCCGCACGTGCAAGCATGGACCTACTAGATGGGCTCGCACACTCTATAAGTCTGGCTCGTCAAACTAGCATCGTTAATGGACTCTTGTCGAACACCACAGAGGGAAAGAACCCGCATAACATCATGATGAACATAAATGTAAAAACTCCTTAGTCGTAACGTACGCGTCCAAACTCATCATATTGGAGAGCACAAATATGCATGAGGTCCCCATCATTTATAATCATGTCATAATGTATGATGCAAGATAAATCTCCATTTATCTATAACTTAATAAGTATGTGAATTATGCTTACATAATTCCTATACATTCTGTAATACATTGCATAGCTCTCATGGCATGGTCTACGAAATTTTATGCATCATAGATTAATGATTTCATAACAATTTTATACAACGTGACATGATCACAAAATAGCATACCTTTATTAAATGACATAGATTATCATAGCATAACGTGACATAATATGGCATAACATAGCATGACATGATATGACATAACATATCATAGCATAAAATCGAACAAGATAGCATATCTTAATATATCATGCATACATATGACACGTGGAGAGGTCATGGGACACGCGTCATCATACATAATACAATTCATCCAACCAAGCTAATAGTAGAACTACTTACAATTTTTTTATAGAAATTATTATTAGTTTTCTTGTCATTCCAAGTTCCACATTGTCACCCTTCTTTTTTAAGCAAATTTATTATTTCCATTTGTGATCTAGATTCTTTCTTTTTCTTTATTAAAATTTGGAGTGAGCAATTGCATGACTAGAGATCGAACAAAGTTCTAGGAGCTTGATGAGAAGCTCATTGGAAATATGAATCTTTGTGATGGATCAACTGTACCGATCTAAGACAAAGGATCCATCTTGTACGAATGCAAGAATGGAGATCAACGTCTACTAACCAAAGTATATTACATCTCGAGTTTGATTGCTAATATTATTAGTCAGAGTTTGAAGGCTAATATTATTAACCAAGGTCAAATGACAAAAGAAGGCATTAGAACAAAGTTAGTCGGCTCGTTCCTTAAGATATTCAACAGAAAAGGAGCCTTGTTGAAGGTAAAATGGCCGCAAAATCAAGATACTAATGAAAGAGCATCAACATCTTTCATAATTGGTAGCAAGAAAGGAAAAAAGAAAAACTAGTGTGTCGAGAAGAAGAAACGAAAGATCAGAGATAAGAAGAAACTAGAGGCTACTTTAGTCAGCAAAGAGCAACCTACAAGTCGGTGTACATTAGACTTATTATCTCAACCAATGAAGCCTAAAGGGAGGCCACCAAAGTGTAAGAAAAATGAGATATCGAACTTGTCATCACAATCAAAGAGGCCCAGAGACAGACTTGAAAAGAAACAAGAATCCAACAACAATGGGAGTTACAATTACCAACTTGTTTCGACCGTTTTTATCGAATACCTAGTTGGGTTATCCAACTTGCTTGAGATTGATGGTGCCTCAAAAAATTCGGAAGAACTTGTAGTCTTGGAAGCAATGTTGAAAGATAGAGAAGTACCTTACAAGAAGTTTCTACATGCAATTATGATGGTGAAGTTCCTGCACAAAAGAGAAGTTGAAGAAATTGCATATTGCAAAATTGAATTTTTTTTTTAAAAAGACAAAGTTGATCACGGACCAAACAAAGTTGACACTGGAGAGCAACGTAAGGACAATCTCACCAAAGCCCTAACAAAAGTCAAATTTACAAAGATGTGAGAGTTGCTCGTAGTGAAGAATCTCGAGCAATGTCAAACTTACCGGTGATACCTACCCTTAATATCATAATGAGTCTCATATAAATTTACTTAATATTTTGAGTGTTTCACGGTCTTGAAAACAACTTGGAGTTCTCTCTTAAAAATCAATATTTCATATTATTTTTAAAAAATTATTTGCAGTAGGAATAAACTAACAAACTAGTCATATTTTTAAATACATTATTGTTCATCCATTATGATTCATGCATACATTTAGGTTTATAGATTAGGTATATATTTGAGTAATTTTAAAGCATATTGTTTTTGTTTTTCAAAACTTCTGTCTTTGTGTTGGTCGGAAAGCAATTCTAAAAGTTCATTTAAGATTCTTTTTACTCTCAATCCATCATTTTCCTCATCGGACTTGTGAAAACTAAATAATTATAAATACCAAATTTTATTAAAAAAAATTGTCTAAAATGTTTTGGTAGTTACAATGTTTATGGTAGCTATGTACACAAAATTTGATTGATAAAAAAAATAAGGTCATTACATCTTCCTCAGAAGCTTTTAAGATTTTGTTCTAAAATTTAGGTAATTTAAGGTCTACCCTATTTATTATCTCTTTATTGAAATCTACTAAAAATTATTATGTCACAATTCATATTTTTCTAATTTTTCAGATAATTTAGTTCTCTCTAGCTCCATGGATGTCATGCTTAAATAAGTCTATTTTTAATAAAATGGGTTTATAGTAGTTTATATTTTGTTATGCACAATTTTTTAAAATTAATTATTTTTATTGTTTTTTAATTTCAAGATCCCTCCTTGAATTTTTCTTACTTTGGAGTAACCAATGGCTCGGAAAGTGTTTGTATTTATTTGTCTTTAGTTTTATTCCAATGTTGAAGTATGGTAGGATGTTACAATTCTACCTTGTTGTAGAAGAATTTGTTTATTTGAATGATTATAGATTGATTTGTGTATTATTTATGAACTTTTAATATCTTCTATCTCATATTGTATTGAATGATTATGTATTGTGGGTAAATAAAAGTTTTTTTTTTTTAAAAAAAAAATTAAGAATCCAACCAACTCGAACATGTGTTAGTCCAAAAATTCTCTTAACCTAACCCAACCCAACCCAACCCATGTAAAAGATTTAGTTTCACCTCCCAATGCATGAGATTTTATTGGAATTAGGTTCTAAAATTTGATACGTTGTTTTTTTTTTTTTTGGAAGAATTTGGCACAACTTATGTGAAGAAAACTAGAGTTGAATCGAACTAGTAGTCAAAGTTGGAACAGACCTCAAGAATGATGAATTTTTAGTTTTGGACCAACACATTTATATCTCTTCACTAAAACTATTAAAACTATTTAGACTTGGTGAATGAATAAAGTTGATTTGAGTGAAGTAGTAAATGAGCGTTTGAAGGAGAAGGGACCCACATCAGGCATGGATAGAGCCACGTCGTTCATGTAAGTAACAATTTAGACTTTTCTCAAGTAATACTTATAAGGATCACTAGGACGTGCTAACATGTGAGCATATCTTACATTAGGTGGTTAGAATATGCATGGATAGGACTCTAGAATGACAATTAGGATGAGAGTGTTATGTATGTTATAGAAACTTACCGAAATGGCTATAAGATGAGAATTTATGTTGTATGCCTATTTTAATGCTTTTCGTTGTGCTAGAAAGGAGGATGAGATGTTGTGATACGTGCTTAGAGTGATTAATAGATGTTATCTTCTTGTCGAGTTTGTATGGATGTTTAGATTATGTTTTCCATGCTTTAGGTGATCTATAGGGAATATCTCCCTAACAAAGCATGCATTGGAGAACCAAATTAACATTTGGGCATTACACGAGCGGTTTACACGTTGACTATGAGATCCCACGTCGGTTGGGGAGGAGAACGAAGCATTCTTTGTAAGGGTGTGGAAACTTTTCCCCAGAAGACGCGTTTAAAAAACATTGAGGGGAAGCCCGAAAAGGAAAGCCCAAAGAGAACAATATCTATTAGCGGTGGGCTTGGGGCATTACAAATGGTATCAGAGCCAAACACTGGGCGATGTGCCAGCGAGGAGGCTGATCCCCAAAGGGGGATGTACACGAGGCAGTGTACCAGTAAGGACGCTGAGCCCCAAAGGGGGGTGGATTGGGGGGTCCCACATCGATTGGAGAAGAGAACAAGTGTGACCGAGAACGCTGGGCCCTGAAGGGGGCGGGGTAAATTATGAGATCCCACATCGGTTGGGGAGGAGAACGAAGCATTCTTTGTAAGGATGTGGAAACTTCTTCCTAGCAGAAGCATTTAAAAAAACCTTGAGGGGAAGCACGAAAGAAAAAGCTCAAAGAAGACAATATCTGCTAGCAGTGGGCTTGAGCCGTTATAAAGACTTAGGTCAATGTGTTTTTTAGTAGACCAATCACCCTAGGATTGTGAGCGCTAATTAGAGGTCTAGGCTTGAGAGCACCCAAATTCCCGAGGAGCTAGTTGTTACAGTCATGCTCGTCCAAGGCGTGTTGCCCATGGCCGCATGCCCATAACAAGCCAAACCCTTTATGTCTTTCCATGTTCTAGTATTTTACTTTGTATTTCTAGGGAATATGATGTTTCGAAAAAATCATGTCTAGGCCTGCTAGACATGAAATGCCTCAGAATGTACTATAGGGGGATATGACTAGTTGTCAACTTCTCCCTACCCAAGGTTATATACTGTGAGCCGTTGTTGTTACTCTCTTGCTTGCTTATATAACGTCTCTTTCAAAAATCTCTCTTTCGAAAATCTCTCTGCCTTCGTTTTCTAAAAACCTTCTCTTAAACCGAAGCCAGAGGCTCGAGCATACGTCGCTTGGTCGTAGGCGACGCAAGAATGAATTGGCTTAGCTCACTTGTCGTTGGAAAGTGAGTGCCGCACAATCGCAAGTCCGCTACCATCAAGAGTGCGATTGTGACAAGTGGTATCAGAGCTTTGTTAGCTCCGTGACATAGCAAAGACCGAAACTATGTCGACACCCAAATCACAAGCCGACCAGCTTACTTTAATAGAGGAGGAAATGCTATTCCTCAAAGAAGTCCCTGACACCATCCGCTTCTTGGAAGAACGGGTGACGGAATTGAATGGAAAAGTCGTACAAATTGACGCAATGGGCAACCGCCTGGATGAGTTGCCAATTGCAGAATTAATGTTTCGAGTGGTCTCGCTCGAAGAAAGAGTTGCTCCTATGAGCAGCTCAAGACCTTCTGGTAGCCCCGATAGCTCTATCGTGCACAAGGAGGGACGTGACGAAGAGTTCGATGTGCTACAAAATACAATGATGAGTTTATTCAATGGATTAGCTGACGAATTCAGAACAACGATCGATGCCATCCAAGAAAAGATGGCCGACATGAACACCCAAATTGGGGTGACCCGTGGAGAACGTCACGGCTGGGCAAACTAATACCCTATCCAAGAAGCTAAAGTTCCCAGACCCCAGACCCTTCAAAGAGAATCGGGACGCCAAAGAGTTGGAGAACTTCATCTTTGATGTCGAACAGTACTTCAAAGCCACAATGACTTGTACCGATGACATAAAAGTGACAGTAGCCTCAATGCATCTCATAGACGATGCAAAATTTTGGTGGCGTACAAAGGTGCAAGACATCGAGAATGGATTGTGCACCATCGACTCGTGAGAAGACCTCAAGAGAGAGTTGAGGGACCAATTCTTACCCGAAAACTTAGAACACATGGCAATGGAAAAATTAATAACCCTGAAACAATCTGGAAGCATAAGGGATTATGTCAGATAGTTCTCGACCCTGATGCTAGATATCAGGGGCACATAAGGGATTATGTCAGATAGTTCTCGACTCAGTCCAGAATGTCCCAATGAATCTACTATCCCTATCACTGATGATGCTTGACGGAATGCCCCATAACTTTACAACGTGTTTGAAAAATAGTTGGGCGGTGAGTTCTGCCGAGCATAATTTTGGAGTGGGGATGAATGTCGCATATTTTGAGAATCGGTCTACGATAACCAAGATGACGTCATATTCTCCGACTTTTGGAAGGTGTGTTATGAAGTCCAGAGATACACTTTTCCAGGGTCTTGTTGGCACAGGTAGAGGTTCCAAGAGTCCTGAGACTTTGGCTTTCTCGACCTTGTCCTGTTGACAGATGAGGCACGTCTTGGTGTATTGCATGATGTCATCTCGCATGTTCGGCCAAAAGTACCCCTTCTTTATTAGGGCGTATGTTCTTTGCCACCCCGGGTGTCCGGCCCATAAGGTATCATGACATTCCTGAATGAGCTTCTTCCTCAGTTCTCCCGTTCTTGGGACATACAATCTGTTTCCTTTGGTCATCAGGAGATCTCCCTCGACCCAAAACTGTCGTGTTTTTCCAGCTTTAGCTAGTTCGACGACGGCTTTGGCCGATGGATCTTTATGTAACTGTTCCTTGATGATGTCGCGCATCGATCCAGCTCAAAATTTCACCAGAGAATGAAAGCAGACAACAGATATAGCCCAGGCATATTTGGAGAAAGCTTCTAAGCATATGAAGAAGTGGGCGGACAAGAAGCGTCGCCCCCTCCAATTCCAAGTAGGAGACCAAGTCCTCATCAAGTTGAGACCAGAACAGATCAGATTCCACAGCCGAAAGAACCAGAGACTAGTTCGACAATGTGAAGGCCTGGTTGAAGTCCTTAAAAAGATCGGGGTTACTTCCTACAGAATTGCGCTACCCACATGGATGAAAATCCACCCAGTAATTCATGTGAGCAACTTGAAGCCCTATCATCCTAATCCAGACGACGACCAGCAAAATGTAATCACGAGACCGAGCATCGATCTGAAACAAAGAAACACCAAAGAAATAGAGGAGATCCTAGCCGACAGAGTTTGGAAGATAGGAAGACCCGTACGGAAGATTCACGAATTCCTTGTCAAATGGAAGAATCTCCCTACGGAGGAAACCAGCTGGAAACGCGCTGAAGATCTGAACTCCACTGCCACCCCTTCACCAGGTTTGAAAGTAGTCGGTTGACAGAGACGTCAACCAATTAGGTGGGGGAGGATGTCACGGTCATGCTCGTCCAAGGCGTGTTGCCCATGGTCGCATTGCCCATGACAAGCCAAACCCTTTTATGTCTTTCCATGTTCTAGTGTTTTACTTTTGTATTTCTAGGGAGTATGACATTTCGTAAAAATCATGTCTAGGTCTGCCAAACATGAAATACCTGAGAATGTAGTATAAGGAAATATGATTAGTTGTCAACTTCTCCCTACCCAAGGTTATATACTGTGAGTCGTTGTTGTTACTCTCTTGCTTGCTTATATAACGTCTCTTTCAAAAATCTCTCTTTGCCCTCGTTTTCTAAAAACTTTCTCTTAAACCGAGGCCAGAGACTCGAGCATACGTCGCTTGGTGGTAAGCGACGCAAGAACGAATTGACTTAGCTCACCTGTCGTTGGAAAGTGAGTGTCGCACAATTCCAAGTCCGTTGCGATCAAGAGTACGATTGTGACACTAGTCTCGTCTGTCCCATATATGCAAGATGCGATTTAAGAACCTAGTAAACCTCCACAACTTCTAAAAGAAATTAAGAGAACTTACGAGACTGCTAGCATCATTAATGGTATCAATTGAAGAGTCACTATTGTATGTAGAAGTGAATCGAGGGCGTGTAAACCAGCTTTTAGAAGAGACGAGGGACTACATAAGTTATTTAGCTCATGGTAAGTGCCACTATTGTGTGTGAAAACAGTCAAGAATTCCTTAAACAAGCTCATTGTTCTGTAAACCTACCTTGAGAGGGGCGAAGAACCATGAAGATAAACTAAGTAGTTAGTATGCATTACATTTGTACAACTAAGCAGAAGAGAGGTTCTTTCCTTCCTTTAGATCCTTTCATTTAAGGTTGAACATAGATAATTCTCACTTTCGTCATATCCGAACGAAAGGAAGCTCCTCTCAATTCAGACTTCTTTTTATTTAAATGTTCGATAATGGTTTTGATCGTACTATTCTTTAAATTTTAAATTTTTATTTTTTTACTTTTAAAATGCATAATGTATGTAAATACTTCAATGAAACATACACCTAACAAGCTAAAAAGGAGTTAATATAACTAAAATTATTTAAAAATGAATGCGATACTTACCTGCTTACTCTAGCAAATATTAGGAGTTTACGATTTGGTTCGGTTCGGCTCACTTGGCCCGGGTTCAATTCTCAAGAAATGAGGTTTTTTTTTTTTTCTTGTCGTTTTTTGTATTTTGTTGTCTGAAGGGTAGCGGTAGAACGGACAAAGAAAAATGAAGGAAAAAGAGGGAAACAATTAGGAATACACCATTTGTACGATAATTCCTTGCAAAAATTTCTCCACATTCTCTGCAAATCTTCGGAAACCCCAGGTCTCATTTGCTTTTCCATGATTTTGAATCATTTTGTGTATTAACGCCTCTTGTTTGTGGATTGGATCCTGACTGACGGATTATTACTTGCTTCCTTTAATCTTCTGAAAATTGAGCTCAATCCGAAATAGGCTTTGACGTTGATGCATTTTTTTTTTTTAATGGTTTTCACATAATTTGTTCTTCCGCTCTTGAATTTCGAGATTTTCTTCTTGAAATTCGGTAATTTTCCAATTCTTGCAGCGATTTGAGAGGATACAGACCTTTCCCCCGTTCATAGGAGAGATGAAGACGGGTTCAAAGTCGGAAGGACCTTCCGCTCCAGCGCCTCGACGGGACCCCTATGAGGTTCTAAGCGTGTCCAGGGATTCCACTGATCAGGACATCAAGACTGCTTATAGGAAGCTTGCTCTCAAGTAATTCCTCTTGCTATACACTTCGTATTACTGAAATTTGATCGTCTTTAGTTCATATTTTATCGTAATTCTTGCTCCCCTTCAATAATGAATGGGAAGATGATGTATGCAAATGCTCAAGTTGAGACGTAAGAAGCTTATTTTAATCTGAGTTGGTCTAATTTTAAAGAACATAATGATTATTATGGTTAATTTGGTCGGACATTTTGTTTGAGAGTAATATCTGAAATATGGATGGAAGATGGAATTTTCTTTTTCTTCATCTTTTCAGCATGTTTGGAACTCGGGTGGTGATTGATATTCAGCTCTGTTACAGTTCAGCTAGGCTCTAGGTGCATTAACATTAAATTACGAATTGTTGTGAGTGGTTACAAAATAAGATTTTAGCTAGGCTCTTGGTGTATTAATGTGAGAACCCACACCAGTTGGGGAGGAGAACGAAACACCCTTTATAAGGGTGTGAAAACCTCTCCCTAGTAGACACGTTTTAAAAATCTTGAGGGAAAGTCCCAATAGGACAATATTTGCTAGCGGTGGGCCTAAACCGTTACAAATGGTATCAGAGCCAGACATCGGATGATGTGCCAGTGAGGAGGCTAAGCCCAAAAGGGGGTGGACACGAGGCGGTGTGCCAACAAGGAGCTGGGCCCTGAAGGGGGGTGGATCGTGAGATCCCACGTCGGTTTGGGAGGAGAACGAAACACCTTTTATAAGGGTGTGGAAACTTCTCCCTAGTAGATACGTTTTAAAAACCTTGAGGGAAAGCCCGAAAGGGAAAGCCCAAAGAGGATAATATCTACTATCAGTGAGCCTGGACCTTCACAACTAAATTGAGTTACACATTTCAATTTCCTCCCTTCCACCTTCAAATTTTTATATAAAAAGAAATAAATTTATTGTCATCTTTTAACCATCTGTCTGCAAAGTGATTCTTACCCCCCAAAAATGTGGCAGATATCATCCAGACAAGAATGGAAGTAACCCTGAAGCTTCAGAACTTTTTAAGGAGGTCGCATATTCTTATAGCATCCTATCTGATCCAGAGAAGAGAAGGCAATATGACAGTGCTGGCTTTGAGGTGCATGTCTCCTTGTCACCATCAACTTGTTATGATGCTTTGTAGTACTTGGTTTGTATGGACAATATTTAAAGAGATACTTCATTATTTTCAAATTCAAGATTTATATACTTTTGTAGGCCTTATGTGGCTTACACATATTTCCATCCCATACACAGTATTTTATTTTTCCCAATCAAAGCTTTCTCTGAGATTCAAATTGAGGTCAAGATTGTTAATTCACTCTTCCATCGTGTAATTAATGTGTTCAGGCCCTTGATGCTAGTGGCATGGATATGGAAATAGACTTGTCCAATCTTGGAACTGTCAATACCATGTTTGCAGCTTTGTTCAGGTGCACATTTATTGAGTTATTTACTGGTCTAGTCGTCTAGATTTTTCTTGATCACTTTTATTATTTATTTTTTAGTAAGCTGGGTGTTCCTATTAAGACTACAGTTTCTGCTAATGTTCTTGAAGAAGCTCTGAATGGAACTGTTACAGTCAGGCCTCTTCCTATTGGAACATCAGTTAGTGGCAAGGTGCATCATATATTGCTTACATCAAGATGGTAGAACAGCAGCAACATTTCCAGTATTTCTGATATCTTGTTATGTTTGTTTATTGTAGGTGGATAAGCAATGCGCTCACTTTTTTGGTGTGACAATTAACGAAGAGCAAGCTCAGGCAGGAATTGCTATAAGGGTTACTTCAACTTCACAAAGTAAATTCAAGGTGTAGTTTTGCCAGTAACTTTCATCCAAATGGGGCTCTTCTGATATGTGCAAATTTTCTTGATTCTTGGTCTTGTTCTCATGTGCATCCGCTTTGTAAGCCGTTTCATGTTACTGATTTCTGTGCTTATCCTTTTTTTATTCCAGCTGCTCTTTTTTGAACATGATGTCAGTGGCGGTTATAGTTTGGCCATACAGGTATCACCTTTCAAAATGTATGTGTAAAATTGATTCATAATTTAAATGAGGTTATTATTATGGTTCTTGAGCACCACAGTAGAGTAATGGTGGAAGTTCTTGAGGAATCAACTTGTCCTCGTCACTAAGCAACTTATTTTATTTAAAATTGATTCATAACTTAAATGAGGTTATTTTATGAGGATAGCTAGTGAAATTTAGAAGGAAAGATGAATTGTTTATTCCTAAAGCTATTTAGTTGTCCTTGCCCCAAGTCTTTAATGTCAATTGTCCAATGAGCTTCTGTATGGCTATCTCTAAAGCTGGATGGATGAATTTTTTCTTGTTCAAGAAAAAAAAAAGATGGATATATGTTAAAAAAATTTCTTTTCGATTTTTCCATTGGAGATGTTTGGAAAAATTCCCTCCTTTCAGTTTTATGATACTTGAGGACATACTTTGAACTGTGTTTTATAGTAGGTTTACCGTGAGTAGTTCGATGAAAGCTTACCATATCCATAGCCTGTCATGTGGATCCGAACTTGTAAAATAGTTCTTGAGTAGATTAATTTTGGGAATCTATGATTTAACTTCGTGTTGACTTTAGTACTATGGTTTTTCCATTGCTTTTCCGTAGGAAGATAGTGAGAAGACTGGGAAAGTAACGTCTGCTGGGTTGTACTTTTTGCATTTTCAAGTGTACAGGATGGATTCCACTGTCAATGCGGTACTTCAAGTTCCAATTATGTGTAGTTTACTGGTGTTTCCTATACTTTTGACCAGAACGGTCATCACGTCATATTTTTCGTTACGATGAAATTTGATGGTTGAATGAATTCATGTGTTGTTGCAGTTGGCAATGGCTAAGGACCCTGAGGCTGCTTTCTTCAAGAGTTTGGAAGGTCTTCAGCCTTGTGAGGTCTCAGAGCTAAAGGCTGGCACCCATATTTTTGCTGTTTATGGTCTTAACTTAGATTTCTTAATTCATCTTTCAAATTTTGTTCCGTTTCGTGTTAACTGCTTTTTTAATATATTCCGTGTTTATCCAGGAGATAACTTTTTCAAGACTGCTGCATATACTATTGAGGCACTATGTACAAAAGATTATGCAGAGACAACAGAAAAACTGAAAGATGTCGAAGCTCAAATTTTGAGAAAGAGAAATGAGCTACGGCAATTCGAGACAGAATACCGGAAGGTGTTGAAATATTCTTTGCCTTCCCTCCCTCCTCTCTCTCACACTATTACTTATTTTTTATTAATTGCTTTGGTATGATGTTCCATAGGCATTAGCACGCTTCCAAGAAGTGACAAAAAGATACAATGAGGAAAAACAGTCTGTAAGTTTTCATTGGTCATTCTTGTAATTTAGATCATGTTTTTTCATATTTTGGTTTCTTAATATCTAGGCCAAAGCCAAGCAATAAATGTCATCCCTTATATGTCCATAGATGTCGACACGTCTGTTGATAGCATGTAAGTGGCAATTTGTTGAAGTCATATCTACATCCCTCAGTGTTCTCACTCTACAAGCATTCTTATAGGATGATGGAAATGCCATATTCTTATTTTTCTTTCCTTTTCATTGAAATTATAAATTTAGATAGCATAATTAGATAATTCCAGAGGAGATCAGTTTTGATTCTTTCATTCTTTGGTATGTTGAATGGCTTGCAACGTTTTCGTTTGGCTTGTAGTCCGTTTTAAAGTTAAGAGGTGATGAAAGAAAGCAGATAACTTTAATAAAAAGATTCAAGGGTAAGTTGATCCCATCGTTGTTATGTTGGAGGCAATGTTTCAATTATTTTCTTTGAATACACAATCCATTTGGGATCTTGAAGAAAATAAAAAAGTTATAAAAGATCGGCAGAAAAGATTGAGAAAAAGGGATTAAGTGAGGATGTTTCTGTTGTCTTCTATCCTGTAAATTTATAAAAATTTTATTACTTTTGTTACTGTCCAATAATTGTTTGACATATGTTCATTAGTTTCCATCACATTTTCTTTGTAAGAGTTAGACGTGTCGTTAACGAGTGTTGGAACTGTAGTCAATTTTGTTCAACTAATGCTTGGTATGTGTTTTGTATGCTTAACATATGTTTGACACATGACCAATTAAGTGTTAGAATGTGTGATATATGTCTCTGTTTCATAGTTGGGATATAAGAGCAGCTTTGTTGAAAAGTATCGTCTTACCTTATTAATGAGAACAGCATGTTATGCAAAGTTAGAGCTGTTTTTGCAAAACTTCTACTGAAGCCTAGCTGATGTTTTTTTTTGTTACTTCTTTTGGTACATTCTAGGTTTGAATTTTTTATCATCTCACCTGATAATGGGATGGATACCTTCTCTTAACACTTAAATCGATTAGGCTTTTATGATTTAGGGTTTTTCTTGCTTTAGTATTATTGTTGGTGGTCGGGCTTTTTAAGCCGAAAGGTTGCATAGCCTGTTCAAGGAGTGTCTATGGCATGTTTGCCACATGTTCAATTCTTTTTTTTTAAAAAAAGAAAGAGACTCAATTTAGTATGTCGAACACGTGTCCAAATGTATCTTTGTTCGACATGGATATTGTCAAAAACGAAGTGTTTGTGCTTCGTAGCTGCAAACATTAATGTTAGAAAGTTGATGATCAAGTTGAGAAGAATCTTCCCCCCACTTTTTATGCAATCCTTTTCTAATTGTCTTGCAACATTTCTGGCTAAGCGAGGATTATTGTGAGATTCCATATCGATTGAAGAAAGGAATGAGTGCCAGCGAGGATGTTGGGGCTTGAAAAGGGTAGTTGTGTGATCCCACATCGGTTGGAGAGGAGAACGAAGCATTCTTTATAAATGTGTGGAAACCTCTCCTAGCAGACGTGTTTTAAAACGTTGGGGGAAGTCTAGAAAAGAAAGCCCAAAGAAGAAAATATCTGTTAACGATGGACTTGGGCCGTTACAGTTGAACCATGTTCACTCAGTAGGGTCAATATTTATGGCTGGTTCTCGAGCTAAGTTACAAGATAGTATTACAAGCCCCTGTTCCTTTTTCAGCTGCGGAGTAACCTCTATTGAAGTTGGGAATGACAGGAAAATTGGGGATTTGGATTCTACTAGGATTTGTCAGGATATAGTTGCCTTCGATATTTCCTTGTTTTTATTCGACTAGGATTCATCGTGGGGCAGAGCGGGGCAGGGCGGAGCGGAGCGAAGCACACTTATTATGTTTCACTTAGTTTATTCATTATAGTTTCTATTATCACTTAACAAAGTTATGGATATGCTGTTCTTTCTCTCTATATTTCTGAAAGTTTTGAAACTCAGGTGGACGAGCTTCTTAAACAACGAGATGGCATACACGCGTCATTCACCATCACAAAAGCACCAAATCCTATCGGAGCTGGTGTTACGAGTAATGGAAGTAGTAGTAAATCTACTGGCGACAGTTCGAAGGTTGAGAATCAAGGAGACGATGGGACCTCAGACGAAAAAGAAAGATCTTTCAAAAAGAGATGGTTCAATATTCCTCGAGGTTCAGACAAAAAGTTGGGTTGATAGAATCGTTGCATTACGTGTGCCAAGGTTTATTTCGTCTTCCCAATGAGCAACAAAAATAAAGTTTCAACCATATTTTGTGTTCTAGAATTCAATGGTCAGATTGGTGCATCCATGCTTGTAATACATGAGTCTCTGTTTTGGTGTATGCTTTCAGTTCGTGGGGCTCAACAAAATTTGTCATTCTTTCTCCCATCAGAGTTGAGGTAAGCTATCTCTGGTTCTCAAAGACATAGCAAAAGTATATTAAATTGTGTGTAAATAACTCCAATACAATACCTTCATATATTAAATTGGTTTTTGTCGGATACATTTTAATTTTTGCTTCCTCAAGTTCTTGTTATTAGGCCTCTCTCGTTATCTTTTTAATTTTAAAGTCTAAAAAAGAGGGCATTTTTGGTTTTGAGATTTTAACCGAAACGCATAATTCTCTATTCTCTATGCATCCCGGTGGAATTAAGATGTATCAAGATTTGAAACAACATTTGGCATAGTATGAAGAGAGATATGGCGGGGTTTGTAAGTAAGAGCTTAGTGTGCCTATAGGTAAAGGCATCTAAATAAAGAATATAGCTATGGACTTTATCATAGGTTTACCTAGGGCATTGAAAGGGTATACAATCGTTGACAAGCTAACTAAGTCGGTGCATTTCTTACCTAGCAAGGCAATTTATACCGTGGATATCAATTGGGCACAATTATACATGAAAGAGATTGTTAGACTGTATGAAGTTTCAATGTTTGTAGTGTCGGATTGAGACTCATGCTTTGTGTTGGCATTTTGGCGCGAACTCTAGAAAATATTGAGTGTCACGGGCATACTTTTTCAACCATACAACATGTGGTCTTGACACGCTTGCTCACGACCAGTCTTGAGGGGAACTCAAGCCCCATATTCATTTTTCGCCTTGCAACACCCAAAATAAGAATAAAGTATCTCAAATAAGATTAAGCCGCTCAAGTAAGGCCTTAAGGATCCAAAGAAAGGAATTAAGACATTCAAGCCACCCGTCATTTTAATACCTTAACAAATAATTTTCGGGATTTAAAACCTTTCAAAAAGGATTGAGAAAAAAAAAAGTAATCATAAAGGATGAAAATGTAATTTTTTCAATTTTTAATTCTATATAGAGAATGAATAGGAAAAAATATAGTAATAAAATAATAAAAAATGATAAAATACCAAAATAACATTGAACTTCGAATTCAGGTTTGGGGTAATGAGTAGTGAAAAGAAAATACTTTGTATCTTCAAATACAACGGTTGAATCTTCACCAAGTTTGAGTATGTTCTAGAGGAGACACACATCATCATATTTAACGACTAAAATTTAAATTGGAGGTTGGTTGCTCTTTGATTGGAGAGGATATTTTCGACGAAAAAATCTAGAAAAACTCAAACTCCAAATTACGACGATTGTAGAGATATCAACGTCGATTTAAGCTCCCTCTATAAAGTTTGAAGTTGGAGCTTTCATTTGGAACAAGAACCAAGTTAAGTCGAGCTCCCAATCGCAAGTCATAGCCTTATATTTTGAGTTTTCTACTCTCGGATTTCTTCCAAATTCGAGAGAAATTATCCACCATTTTCCTTTTAACTTGTTCCTACACCATCTAAACACGATTACCCACAAGATTTATGAAGGAATTGAGTGTTGAAATAGCCGTAAGACTATTCCCTCCATCGTGGCCGCCATTAAAGAAGCTTAAAAGCTTGAAATCCCGATGTCAAGCTAGGCGAATTCAAAAGTGAGGCCTAACCCCATTCAGTTTCTGCACATCCAAGGTTTGTTTTTGTAGAACACCACGAAAAGAATTAATTCCAAATTACGACACACATGAAGCCTTGGACGTAAGTTAGGCTATGTCGCTTGGAATGTATGAAGCCTTGGACAAAGGTTGTCAGGTTCATGATTTGTGCCGTAAATTCCACTGGGAGTGTCTTGGAGAACAAAATAAAAACCTAATACAAAACATAGAAAGTAACCAAGAACGAGACAACAATTCAAAACTAGAACATGGATCAAGATCCAAGTTCTAAAGACAAGAACCCATAACCAAAGTACTAATGTCTTTAGGTCTGAGAGGACAGATCATGATAAGAACTCACAAGTCAAGAACATAACCAAAGGGCCTAAATACTTGCAACAAGAACTAGAATAAGATAAGAACGAGTGTGGTACCCTAGCATACTAAGGACACGATTAAGAGCCTACGAGTACGCTACTTGCTGAATCTTTGTACTCACTCCATGTTTTCTATGTTTTTCAGGTAAATAAGGAGCTTGTTGAGGTTGGGAGCGGATTTTGGAGCAGGTGACATAGACAAGTCTCACCCGTCGTCCTCAACCCTTTTGGTTTTAAATATTTTGTGTCAATTCCTACTTATATATGATCATTGTTTTGATATAATATAAATATAATGTGTATTATATTTTAAATTCTCTTTGATTTGTTTTGAGAAAAATTTGCCCGTCTTTTTACACCTTTGAGTCAAGCTCAAAGTCAAAGTCTGAGGCTTGTGCCTTACTTGCCCGATTTTGTGGCTTCGTCAAACCTTAGGCAAGATTTGTCTTTACTCATCAAACAAAATTTGTGTGAAATCCAAGCTTGTTCGCCTACACACGCTGCTTGCACATACATCTTCAATCATCTGCAACACAAATCAACTTTCCTCTACCTTAGGCTAAGTCATTTAACTCAACCTTGCCTCTAACTTGTGACCAAGGTTTCTCATAGATGGCGTGGTGTATGTAGATTTATGCATCATAGATTACCAACATCATAACATAATTTTGTATCATGTCATTGTCACACCATAGCATAACTTATAAACATGAGATAACACAATATAACATATACATCACATAACTTAGCATAACATGACATAACATAGTGAAACATAGCATAGCAATATAACGATGATGCGTGCCCCATGTCTTCTATACATGTCAATGAAATAGTGAAATACAAATAACAATTAAAAAGAAATGCATACGCCTGATCTAACCTAAGCGCTACACGTGACTTGAGTATTTAATAATAATTAGTAAGTAGCCGAGTTAGAAAATACAATCATATGTAATTATGGTGGGATTTATGTTTTCACAAAAAGATCCTAGCCTTGAACTCTACTCTTCCGTTTGAGTGAAGTTGGATGTATAGTACTTTTCTACACATGACTCGTTAGAGAGCTCGTATATGTATCCCTAGGTCTAACCTTCAACTAGCTCATAGTCATGTAGTTGGAGCCCAAGAGGGAAAGGAGTAATAAAATAATATAATAGAAATTAAACAAAATAATAAAAAGAAATATAAAAAAAAAAAAATCTACATATAATCGAAAACGCACACAGTTTTGGGTCAATCCAACCGATATAATTCGGGTTGGGTCGTCAGTTCGGGTTTTCGGGGTTCAATGTAAACCCATAATCTGGCCCCTTTCTCTCCCTCTGGTTCGTGATTTTTGTGCAAAAACTCAAATCTGGCCATGGAGGAGCTCGAACAGAAAGTACTTTACGAAACTCGTCGCCACGCCTCGAGACCATTCCGTCCCAACTATCCTCCTCACCAGGTCCCTACTCAACTCCTTTCTTCTTACCTCTCACTGATTCGAACTATATTACCCCAACTCTGTAGTGTTCAATTTGTTTTTCTCGATTTCCTTGTTGTTGTATTATATGTGGATTTCTCTGTTTGCGTTTAGGCGATCGTGGGTTCCAAATGGAGCTTCCTTTCTCTGTTTCGCATTGGAGGTATGTTGCATTTCTGTGCAATTTTCTTTCGGATTCAATTTTCAGACAAGTTTTTCTCTCCATAAATTGGCCTGTTGCTCAATTGAATTGTCACGCTTGTGTAAATCAATCGTTTTTGAAAGCTTTTACTGTTCAATTGTGATGTAATTGGGATCAATTCAAGTTAAGATGAATAAGAAATGTCGAAAGTTGTTATTGAAGAATGTATATCTTGTGAATGGCTGTGTTCTTAAAATCACTTAGTTGCAAGATAACAATTCTTGATTTGTTCGTGAAGACTGAGCTTCTTGACAATGTTCATTCTTTTGAGATATTCTATGAATTTATTCTTACCTTTCTCCTGATACGTGCAATGGCAGGTAGACTCAGGAATAAATGGATTGGATATAACCAACCGCAGAGAATAGAAAGATCGGTATCATTATTTATTTCTTCAAGCGGGGAACGTGTGGCAGTGGCTGCTGGAAATCAGATAACGATATTGAGGAAGAAAGATGACTACTTGGACTCATTTGGCATTTTTTTGGGTATTGTTTTTCTTATGAATTTCGATCTTCTCATGCATCAGACACCAATGTTATCAGACACAGATAGTTGAGTAAGGAGAGAAAAATAAAAATAGTTTATCTTCATCTTCCCATGCATTAGACACCAATGTTGCTTCATTCACTATGGGAGCATGGTCTGAAAGTTGCAATGTTCTTGGAGTCGTTGATGATACCAATACAATATATTTTATCAAATCAAACGGTGAAGAGATATCAATTATCCAATACTATGGGAGCATGATCTTACTTGTAAGCAATTATCAAGATTGGCTATAAATAAGTTCTTGTTTGTGTAGTATTTAGTTGGGATTTCTAGTTACGTTTTTTTGATCAATCGTGTAATCTGTTCAACTTCTATATTTCAGGTGTACCTTCATCATTGTTGCATCAGATGGTTCTATTTGGCAAATGGAGATCAGTAAAGAGCCAACTATATCTTTTCCCTCAACTAACTCGAACAGTGTATCTAATCGACCCTTACGAATATTGCTTGAATAATCCATGTGGCTACTTACATGGATGTAGACTTCCCGAGCTTATTTCGGGTCTTCAAAGATATGCTCCAACTTGATTAAGCTTCTTAAAATGTCCTATAGAATGAGTAACCATGGAAATGGGTGAGACATTCTTCCAAATTGGGATAGAATTGGTCGGAAGGAAAAAGGCCTCGGTTCGGGTCACGCGCGCACCAAATCGGGTCAGTTCGTGCCCCGCGGGTCGCCTATCTTCTTTAACCTCCTCTTTCCGTTTCTCCCTCTCTCCCCTGCGTCTTCTCTTACCGCTCAGTCCGTCAAGATCCCACAATGTCGACCTAGCCACGCGAAGGTCCGTGAATATATTAGGGTTTTGGAAAGAAACAACGGGGAATCTCAACAACCCAAAACTTAACGTCGGAGTTCTCCCTTTCTCGGTGATTCGGGTTCCAACATCGAACTTGCGAGTTTTTTCCGGCGACAAGAAGTTTCGGCCTTCTCTCTCGGGCCTTCTCCTTTTCATCTTCACTCTTACTTAATGATCTTGTCATCTCTCGGTTGGAGTGGAGCTTGCTATCACTCGCACATAGATCTGTTTTGGAAATGTATAATCTCTTCACTAGAAATCAGAAGTATCAAGATGCCTTGGACTTTGCTAATTGTTATGGCTTGGATAAAGATGAAATTCTGAAGTCACAGTGGCTGCATTCTGATCAAGGAACTAATGATATGAATGTATATCTGTCAAAGATAAAGGATCAGGTTTTCATCCTTTCTGAATGTATTGAAAAGGTTGGACCAACAGAATATGCTGTAAAGGCAATGCTTGATTATGGGCTGAAACTAACCAACCATTACCAGTTTCTTGAAGTAGAAGATCTTGAAAGCGATGAAATATGGAGTTTCCGCCTGGCTAGACTCCGGTTACTGCAATTTAAGGACAGACTGGAAACATATCTTGGCATAAATATGGGCAGGTATATGCTTTGAGAATATTAATGTTATTCTATATAGACTATTGATAATAAGCCTTATTATTCGTTGCTTTTTATGAGAAAGGGTGTCCCTGACCAATTATGCATTTGTAGATATAGCATGTCTGTAATAGATTTATGGATATGAAATGTTGTTCCCCATCGCATGCTTCATGGTGATTGTGAGAAAGAATGAATGATTAGTGATTGAACTGGATTGTACTTTTGAACATTATAAGATTTTTTGACTCAGTTCTATTGCATACCTGTGTTGGGTTCTTCACGAAGCTTCATTGTTTTTGTAACTTATTTTGACTAGCAATTTGACAGCACAACTTCATCAGATTTTCTGTGCAGGAATATGGTAGCTTCCGCATGAAGCCTATCAAGGAAGCTGCTATTAATCTTGCAAAAAATGGAAAAATTGGAGCCTTAAACCTCTTGTTCAAGCGCCACACATATTCCACGAGTCCTTTCTTGTTAGAAGTTTTATCTGCTATTCCTGAAACAGTTCCTGTGCGGACTTATTTGCAGCTTCTCCCTGGAAGGTCTCCTCCTACTAGCATTGCAGTGAGGGCAGAGGACTGGGTTGAATGTCAGAAGATGTTAAACTTTATAATGAAATTACCTGAAAATCATGAGCTGAGTTCACAGATTAGAACTGAACCTATTGTCAAGAAATATTTTGGATTTATCTGGCCTTCAATTAGTGAACTTGCAACGTGGTACATGAAAAGAGCTAGAGACATTGATACTTTGAGTGGACAGCTCGACAACTGTCTCTGCTTGCTTGATTGTGCTAACCGAAAAGGTATTCATGAATTACAAGAATTTTGTGAGGATGTCAGTTACTTGCATCAGCTAATTTATTCTGAAGGAAGCGATGATAATATCTGCATTGATCTTGTTTCTTGGGAACAGTTGTCTTCATATGAGAAATTTAAATTGATGCTGAAGGGTATAAATGAGGAAAGTGTAATCAGAAGATTAGTTGACAAAGCAGTTCCATTCATGAGAAAAAGATCAACTGATATGACCTCAGTTCCTAAAAAAGAATCTGACCTTTTGGAAAATCAAGATACGACTGAATCATTTTTAGTTAAATGGATGAAGGAACTAGCTTCAGAGAATAAGTTGGAGATATGCTTATTGGTCATTGAAGGAGGGTGCAGAGACTTCAAAACTAATGAGTTTTTTAGGAGTGACGTTGAAGCTGTTGACTGTGCGTTACAGTGCATATATTTATCTACCGTAACTGACAGATGGAGTACCATGGCAGGCATTTTGACAAAACTACTTCCAATACAAGGTAATTTTAACTTTATTGGTGACGTATTCTTTTCAGTTATGCAAGTTTTAAACTAGTCTTTTTTGAACTCTATTCTGATAAGAATTTGATCTTAAAACTCTAGATCTCACACAAAGGGGTTAACTAAAAAAGCAACTCAACCAGAGTCAAAAGAGGGTGTGTAATAACAAAAAAATAATGTTAGAGATCACCAATGGTTTTTAGCTATGCAATAAACTTCCCTCTAATCCTTCCCCTTTTCTTTAAATATCCAAAAGTTTCTTTCTATGGCCATACAAATGCTTTGACTAATTCATCCAAAGCATTTTAGCTAGGGGTTCCAATTCCTCAATTGCTGATTCCGAAATGATGCCTCCCTAGTAGTAGTGAGGTCTACTTTCCACAATTGTTTCGTAACGTTGATGCTTCTATATTGTAAGGCTATCTTATCTGCACATTAATGCTACATAATTGTTTGCTCTGCCGCCTGCTGTATTTACAGCTCAGTCATTGATAATCTCTAAATCGCAATTGGTTTATGTTCAAAAACACTTCAGACACCAAATCCTCTGATGACCTGAAACGAAGGCTCAAGCTGGCAGAAGGCCACGTTGAAGCACAAAGGCTTTTGTCCTATTACCAGGTTGGTAGACTTCTCATAACCAGTTGAGATTAGTATTATAAAACTGAAACTCTTTACTGTTTGTTTTCTTCCCTCTTAATGTCAAATTCAACAATACCCAATTTGCTTTCTAACGTTCCAGGTGCCGAAGCCAATGCAATTTTTCTTAGAAGGTCAGGGTGATGGTAAAGGTGTAAAACAAATTATGCGCCTCATACTCTCAAAGTTTATTCGTCGACAGTCCAGTCGATCGGACAATGATTGGACAAATATGTGGCATGACATGCTGTGTCTGAAGGAGAAGGCATTCCCTTTTCTGGACCTGGAGTATATGCTAGTAGAATTTTGTCGTGGACTGTTAAAAGCTGGGAAATTTTCGCTTGCAAGAAACTACTTGAAGGGTACAAGTTCGGTCTCTTTGTCAGCAGAGAAGGCTGAAAACCTTGTCATTCAAGCTGCTAGAGAGTACTTTTTCTCTGCTTCAAGTCTTAACGGTCCAGAAGTAAGTTTTCATAATTTTAATTAATCAGTTATTACGTACAGCCGAGATTTTTTAATTGTCTTTTTCAGAACTTCAATTTGTGTCTAATTTTTCTAAATACTTGAAATGAGCTCTTACCCCTTGTTTTGTGGATACCTAGATAATTATGTGAATCTTAAACTTAATCGACACTGAACAACAATTATGTCTCATCCTTAAGATGAGTAAATGACATCTTACTCGATGAGTAACTGGAAGCCCAAATATGAATTTAACTACACTATGTTAACACCATAAACATGGTTGAATATAATATTATTTTCATTTATTTATAGTATTTCTCTTGTGAACATTTTAGTATATATGATTTGATCTGGTTGGATGAACTACAATAGTTATAGCAACCACTCTACTTTAAAGAGAACTGAGTGATTAATGTTAACTAACTGCATTTTTTTTATCTCATATCTTATTTTGTGGAGATTGTTTGTATCTCATACTCTTGAAAAAAGTCGAGGATAAACTCCATGAAAGCAGAACTTATTTCGTTGGCAGTAAATGAAGAGCAATCTTGGAGATAAAAATGCAAAAAATGATGGTTAGAGGAAGGTGACATAAACTCCAAATTTTTCCATCATATCATGGCTACAAAGAAACGAAAGAGTACCATCATGAAAATTCTATCCACACAAGGCATAAGTTTAGTAAATGAAGACGAAATTGTATAAGAATTTGTGTCCTTTTACACGTCCTTATACACAAAGGACAATGCCCTCAGTGAATTTCCTCACGATCTTGACTGGAGTCCTATTGATCAGCAGCAAGCTGCCTCCCTCGAGGTCGCTTTCACTGAAGAAGAGGTGGGGAAGGCGATTCCGAATCTGGGCTCTGACAAAACTCCAGGACCGGATGGTTTTACCTCAGAATTCTTTCAGAAATGTTGGAACTTCATGAGAGTTGATATCATGAGAGTATTCCATGATTTTTTTCGAAACGGAGTTATTAATGGCAACCTGAATGAAACATACATATGTTTGATCTCAAAGAAACTAGATGCTCGCATTGTCCCATAAGCCTCACGACCGGTCTATATAAAATCATAGCAAGGGTATTAACAGAACGCCTTAAAAAGGTTCTCCCCTTCACAATAACTGGACAACAAATAGCTTTTGTTGAGGGGCGGCAAATTCTTGATGCATCCCTCATGGCCAACGAACTCATTGATGAATGGGAAAGAAAGAAACAAAAAGGTGTAGTCATTAAACTTGACATGGAAAAGGCCTTCGACAAGGTTGATTGGACTTTCCTCGAAAACATTCTTGTGGCAAAAGGCTTTGGCCCAAAATGGCGAAGGTTGGATTAAAGGATGCATCTCATCCACAAATTTCTCCATCATCATCAATGGAAGACTGAGAAGGAAAATTTATGCCACACGGGGCTTGAGACAAGGAGACCCACTATCCCCTTTTCTCTTCATCATGGTAATGGACTGTTTCAGTCGCCTACCGACAAAGGCAGAATACGAAGGGCAGATCAAAGGTTTTCAGATTGGTAATGAAGGCCTGAGCATAAACCACCTTCAGTTCACAGATGACACAATCCTCTTTTCTGATTTGGTGAATGCCTCTTCCATAAAAAACATGATTGAGACGGTAAAAACCT